TATATATGTGTGTGTGTGTGTGTGTGTGTGTGTGTGTGTGTGTGTGTGTATGTGAGTGTGTATGTGTGTGTGAAAATGATGCCTTGGTAACTAATTGCAATAAAACATGTTTTTAATATATTATATTATTTCATTTAACTTTTATTTTAATTCAAGTAACATTTTTTAATACTTTTAATTTTAGTTTTTGTTAACTATAATAACCTGACCAGTATGCTGATGGAAATATATTCAAATAGAAAACATTTTTCACAATATTAATTTTAATATTTATAAAATATTATTTTATTTGATGAATTCTAATTAATTCTACTGTATTTTTATCAAATAAATGCAGACTTTGTGAGCATAAGAGACTCAAAAACATTTTAAAAATCTTGTCTTAATATCAGGAAATTATATTCAATTAATTATATTTATTATTATTATCATCATCTGTTTTAGTATTTTATTTTATTAGTATTTTTTATAACAAAGAATCCCTTCAAGACTTTTAAAGAGGTTTTCCACTTGAGGATTTGGAACGCGATCATATGTGGTTCTGATAAAACATTTCAAGGATTTACAAAAGTGTCCTTAACTGAAGAATCACTGTATGCTGTGTACAGAAGTCTTTAATTCATACAATCACAGCACTGAAATATTAAACAGCTTTACTGTCAGTGAAGTTTTGTTTTGCTGTTGCTCTTCAAGGATGTTTGTTTTCATCTGCGCTGCTTCACTTGACATTAAAACTTACAGTATGTGAAGGTTGAGTGTATATCTACACACTTAGAAGTCTTTTTATTTCAGATAAAGAGTACAACCTGTGATAAACAGCACAGATATTTCATTTTGATTTAAAGAGTTTTAATTTAAGTTTAAAAACTCCGTTTGCTTGTTTGATAATCAGACAAGCTTGCTTGTTATTTCATACTCTTGTACAGGTAAATTTTTATTTATTATCTTGCAATATTATCTTACTTCTCCATAAACGTAACATAATAGCTACAGATTTAGCTGCTTTATTTATTTATATTTTAAAATATATATACGTTTTTTTATGGGTTATGATATTTCTCTTTATATTTTATTTCTCTTTTTAAATTTGATTTATATATGCATATAGTTTTAATTTATGTGCAAAGTTTTGATGATTTCATACAAAATTTCAATGGTAGCCATTGACTCCCATTGTATTTTTTTTCACATACCATGGAAGTCAATGGCTACCGTCAACGGTTTAGTTTCAAAAATTCCTCAAAATATATATATATATTTTTTGTGTGTGTGTGTGTGTGTGTGTTTGTGTTCAGCAGAAGAAAGAAAATCATACAGGTTTGGAACAACGTGAGGATGATTAAATGACAGTATTTTCATTTTTGGGGTGAACTGTCCCTTTAAAAAACTACAGATCCATCAATTTTATGCGTTCTTTATTCTCGACCAGCTTGCAAAAGACATTTAATCTTAGGAGTTTCATCTCAATAACTGATATTCAGGTGAATCAGTCAATGAGGTTCACCTCCAAATCAAAATAATAACAAACAATACATAGCACAACGAAAATAAAGCCAGTTTTAGTAAAAACGAAGTACTTTCATATTCATATTTGCACAAAATACCGCAGTGTTGGCTGTAAAACAGTCGTGCTGTGTGTGTATTTGTGTAAATTGTGTAGTCTCTAAACATATGGGCTCAAAGGCTTTGCATTTCTCTCTTTGTGTTTCAACATCCGGGTTTCCCTGCTGCGAAATTCCCAATCCTACTACGGCGAGGCCACGCCTGCTGAATATTAATTAGACCGTGCTGACGCTCCTCGCCAACCTTCACTCACGCAAGTTATATAATATTCATGAGCCAGGCCTTCTGCGCAAGGCCGACCAATCAGAGCGCCGGCGTCATGTTGCTAAGTTAATATTCATGAGCCGAGCCTTCGCCCTAGTATAACGGGAAAATTGGTTTCCCTGCTGGCTGCGTTTCGCTCTCCGAAGCCATTTTGGACTCCGTTCAGTTCCGTGCATGTCAGAATCGAACCCTGTCCTGCCATTCTCGCTCTTGCACGGGAAAAGCTTCACACACGGACGGGATTTGGGTGGAAATCGCCGGTTCTTTCGCACCGGGAGGCGCTTCTGTCGGAATAGCCGCTTTTCCTGATGGATCTGTGCATGTGTTAAAGTTTGATTAAAGCCCGACCGGTGGGTGGACATCAGGCCGACGGTCACTCGGGCTCTTGTGTGTGTGTGTGTGGCCTCCTGGCTGACTTTTGCACTTCTTCTGGGAACTTTCAGTGCAGGTAAGCGCTCGTTTATTATTTGACAAGACTTGTGTGAGATGTGCATGGCTTTTCTGATGTTCTGCTATATAAACACGCGTGATATAATAATGCACTTGGCTTTTCATTGCATTGAAACGCCACGTGTTTGCATTAGGAATCATGTTTACACCTGGTTTTGGTGAGTAATTATGAATGCATTTGAAATATTGAAGTGTCTGCGTGAGCCTTTCGCAGATGTAGTGCTCGCATTCATTCATAACTATCCTCAGCCAGCCTTCAGTCCAAGGATTTGTATTTTTTTCACTCAGTTACATTTACGAATCAAGTCATGCATGGTCATATGTGTGTCTAAATCATTTGTGCATCCATATTATATAGTATGCATTCATTTAAGTGATTTGTGCAAATGTCTTTTAGGATTTATTCCTCAGAGCATCACACATAACACATGCATAGATGTTGATAAAGTCATCTGCATGCAGTGAATGTGTGTTTGCTGTGGCTTTGTTGTGTTGGAGGGTTTTGGGGGGAGGGGTGGGTCTATACAGCTCAATATCATGCTGAATTGTGATTAAATAACATCTAGCATCACGGTGCACTTTACTAAACATCTTCAGAGCAAATATGTATCATACTATTGGAGATAGGGACACAATGTTTCCATTCGAGGACAGAATTCCCATGAATGTTACAATGTTATTATTGCATTTACCCCTTTTTTTATTAAATTCAAAATTAGAAATTCTTTGAAATGTTAAATTACACACGAATCGCATAAAAAAAAAAAACGTATATATAATGTTATTTGATATTTATAAGAACATATAATCTAAAAATTACCAGCATTAGCCCCATTGGAATGAATGTAATTGAATGAAACTCATGATTGCTCAAAGTTATGAAACCTACATATTTATTCCTAACAAAACCGAGTCAAAACAAAATCAGTTTTACTCTGAGAATTTTTCAAACTAAGTAATTTCGTTTTACTTGCATGAACTTTAACTTTCAGATGAAAAAAGTGATCAGTGGTTCGTTATTAGATGTGCATATTCATGTTTATTAACAAAATTCAGTCCTAAAAGTGCAGGACGGATGGCTGAATATGTATTTTTTTGGCACTAATATAACTTCATAGATCATTTTGGCTCCTAAATGGTTACATCTCTTAAAAAAATAATTGTAAAAAAATCTGAAAAAAAAAAAAAAAGTTTATTTTGAGGATCTTAAAACATTTGCAAAGTTTCCTTCTCTTACTAGAAATTATGCTTTTTTTTTTTCTCTTCTGGGTCGAAATGGACCTGAATGCATTCTGAGGGATGCATATCTTTATGTGTCGAGGTTTTGTTCTTCAGATGTCTTGAGGACTGTGTGAAGTGTCTGTTTTGTGAATATAACGAGTCTTTGAGTTCCAGACCAGCGTATGTTGTGTTGTGGTTGTTGGCTTCCTAACTAGCTTAACCATCAAGCCTCCTTTGGTTTACCAGGTTCATATGAAGGACAACAAATGGTCAGGGTTGTATTTTCCTCCAAAACCTCAAGCACTTTGGTTTAGGCTTCACGGTGTTGGGTTGCAAGACCTTCGAAAGCAACTTTCGAGACGTGCATTTGAAACGTCACATGATGTTTCTGTCAGAAGTCAGTGTGTTTTTGGGTCAATAGAGGTTGGTCTTGAAGGATGGTTATTGTCTTTGAAGAAAGTGAGAAAAGTTGGTGTTTTTCTGAAGGTTTAGTGATGGATATATACATACATATGTGAATGTTATTAAAAAAATATTTTAAGTGGATACATCTTTCTTTCAGTGACTTTTGAGCAAATGTTATGTAAAATTCAAGCTGTCTTTAAATTCTATTACTTCGTATATAACAAACACCCTGCTTTCTAGATGTTGTTTTGGCCATGAAAAAACCCATGTTTGGTCACTAGATAATATATATTATTTAAGTTGTAAAGTACGTTTGTGAAGTAATACATCACTGTAGTATTTATTGTTCTGAATATAATTTATTCAGATTTGAATTAAATAAAAAAGCATTGTGTGTGGATGGGATGATTTTCATTATCCTGTTATAGTAATGAGAGTGATTTTATTTAATGGTCATGAAAATAAATAGTCACAATGCAAAAAATCTTAACATTCCTTAATTTTCCTCATGCAAAGTATAATTTCTTAATTCTTCCTTCTGATTTCAAGCTAAAATGTGTCCCTTATAATAGAATTGAATATAATCCAAATGAGACCTTTTTTTTTTTATTTAATTTTTTTTACTTTTTTGCATTACAATTAGGGCTGGACGATATGGCCAAAATTGATATCACGATATATTTCTTAATTTCGGTCGATACGATATAATTCCGATATCGATATGAACACTATTCATCTGAAATAGAAATCTTTTGTAACATTATAAATGCCTTTATCATCACTTTTGATCAATTTTAAGCATCCTTGCTAAATAAAATTATTAATTTCTATAATTTCTTTCCCAAAAAAAAAAACAAGAAAAAAATATTCTACTGACTCCAAGCTTTTGAATTGTATAGTGTATAATGTTACAAAAGCTTTTTATTTCAGATAAATGCTGATCTTTGGATCTTTCTATTCATCAAAGAATCCTGAAATTCCCTAAACCGACACACATCAATTTATTTATTTATTTATTTATTTTTTTCAGTTTACGAAAATGTTTTTTGAACTATCGAAATATCGGAAATGTGTTTAAAAATCATATCACCGTTATTGAAAAAAAGTATATCGCGATACATATTGATATTGAATTATTGTCCAGCCCTAATTACAATCATGAGAGTTTTGGGAAAATTTTGTTTAATTGTAATGAAAACAGCATCACATTGCAAACAATCATTCAGAATCCTTCAATTTCTTAGTTTCTCCTTCTGAGTTGAAGGTGAAATGTGTTTCTGTCATTGGCGACAGGCTTGTTGAATGCGTTTGTGATGCCGCGAGGGCTCATAAATGTGTGTGTGTGTGTGTTGTGTAATAGTCTTCGTGTAGAGCATTCCAAGATTCCCCGGCTGAGCGCACGGTGCCATAAAAAGAAAAGCAGGACGGTGTGGGGCTTAAACAGCCTTCTATTGGTGGAAACAAATTACCCTAATGCTCCGTTTGCTGCTCGTATCTGTTGGGTTTGTGCTTGTTTGAACAGTGGGGTGTGAGTGGGCTTTCCCCCCACATCCGTGTGTGTGTGTGTGTGTGTGTGTGTGTGTGTGTGTGTGTCTGGCTGGACGAGGGGAGGGTGGACTGGAATTCCTCTCTGGACTGAAATGGCCACCGTAGAGTCCGTCAGCGCTCCGATCAACAGTGCCGGAGATCATCCAGAGGGAAATACGGCCGATTGCAAGCTGCGATATGGATGTGAGCTATGGTGCATGGGTGGGGGGGCTGGTCGAGAGAGAGAGAGAGAGAGTAGTCAATCATCACTAGTACTACAGTAGTGCACTTAGTCATGTGGTTAAACCTCCAACTTATAGGCGCTATGAAATTTGTTTTATTTTTTCCCAAATTCCGTGTTTTATTTTTTTCTGGAGTCTGTTCACCCCCACCCCCGTGTTGGTAAAATAAAATTTCAGTAATAAAAACGCATGTCTAATTAACTGAAGTCATGAAACTTATACGGTTTAAAAACAGTTAATTAAAAGCTGAACACAAATGACATTTTAGGGCCATATGAAACAAGTTGAAATTTTTTTTCTCAAATTCCAGTTGATTTTTTGTACCCAATTACGTTTTTTCTGTTTTAATTTTTCTGGAGTCCATTTAATAAAATAAAATTTTAATAATAAAAAAGTCGAATTAATTGAATTATTATCATTAATTATAATATAATAATAATAATAATAATGTATTTATTTTATTATTATTATTATTTTTTCTGAAATTCTGTATGTGAATTTTTCTGGGTAATTAATTAATTGCTTGGCAGGCGAATAAACCGGTAAATAGATTACTCCAGGGACTGCAGATGAAAATTTGCCTGAATGACTAAATCTGGCACATTTACATAGTAGACTTGTTTACTCATGTTAGTTAATGTGTATTGTCCCTTTTAAATAAAATAAAAACAAAACAAAAAACAAAACAAAACGTGTATTGTGAAAAACGGATGGTTTTGATTGACGTGCACACATTGACATTGACGTTTGATGTTAATATACTGCATTCAGATCAGAGCCCAGTGATTATGTGATGATGTTTGGTGGATCTGAATGGGATTGAATCCCAAACAGTCTGAAATTAAGTGCTGATCCCTCAGGAATATTGTGTTTGAGTTGAGCTTCTTACGAATCAACATCCAGAAACCTGTTTGTCTCATGAGCGCTTTTCAAGATCTGTTTTGACAGTCAGTCATCCAGTTCAGTTTAATTTTATTCCATTGTAGAATAAAATTAAATGATTGCATTTAAAACCAAATGCATGCACTCTGAAATTTACTTTTGTTAATGACTTTTGTTAATGAATTGGTCATCAGGCAGTGCCAATAATATAAAAATGGCCAAAAATTGACTGATTAATCAATCATCTGTCGTAATTACCAATGGGAAGTTTAAAATTTTCATTGGAATGCAACTTTTCCAATCGGGAGCGTGTCAAATATGTGGAAGTTAGCAGTAGTTGAATATTCATTTTCAATGCAAATGTTGTATGAGGTATAGCCTAAAGACAGATTGTGTTCTGTTTTATTTGAGTCCATAAAACATAGTTTGAGATGATGTAAAACAGCCATGTGCATCTTGAGAGCGTTGTGAATGCATTGTGTGCATTGCATTGTCTTTATACGAATCCATTGGCATCAGTTTTACACAGAAAGCAACGTCTGCTAGACCCTCGACAATCTCTCTCGTGTTTGGTGTTTTGTGCCGTGTCAGATCTTTGCGTTAGGACGTGAAATGTTATCCAAACACAGAGATGGGATGCTGGGATTTGCTCAAATTGCCCATAATTGACTTTTGGCTCTGGATGTGTAGAGTCGTTGATTTTTATGGATGTGTGTTTTCC